AATCCCAAGCAAAGAAAATTCCACTTATAATTGCCCTTGCAAACTGACTAAGCTTCATCTTACAGCTTATTTTCCTTTTGGTGACTGGCAACATAAACAGGCAAAGAATGTAGCAGAGAAGCAATAGGCAGTATTGTATCAGGCACTATTTGGGATATGTGGACAAAAATTCCAGAATATTTTATGCCTCTTAACTTTTCCATCTCGTTTGAAGAATTACAAGTAAACTGCACCCCGCTACAGTGATTGCCAAGGTATCTTACTGGCTTCTTCAGGTGATACTGCTTCCAAATGAGAGGGAAAATTTGGCATGAGGTTAATAAAGAGATTAATTAGGATATATGAGAAGAGAAGGATAATTAAACTCTGCTATGTGCAATCTATATAGTGGTAAAAGGGAAAAAGAAAGCTAGCATCTTTGTTGCTTTCCTGGGCAACTCTACCTAAGAAATATTTCAAAACTTAAAAAGCAAACAGGAGAAAATATATTCTTTTATTCTATTTATACATGGGAAAGCTTTTTCTGTCTAAACACCTGCCCTTGTTTAAATCAGTGAATTGTACCAGGCTTTTCCTTTGCCCACAGAGCTGTACTCTGTATTTTATACTGTGCCATTTTTCTGCCTCTGGTTCACAATGTGACCCAATAAACTCACTGCTCACTGGTGCCATAAAACTTCTGTGAGGAGTTTGCAACATACTCTTTTTGATTAATGATATAAATGATAAAATACATTTGGATTCCTCTGGTAGACTCAGTACTCTGCAGGGGAATTTCACTGCCTAAAGGGCATGTTCAAACCTATGTCTAACCTTGCAAGGTTTCTCAGCAGCAACTTTGCCAAAGGAAATCAGAAAGAAATATTTGTATGTTAAAATATATTTTCAAAGTTGATTTGAACAGCCCTTAAAAGTTTCTTGACCTCTCAGAAGGAAAATAGGAGACTTACATGCCTTGTGAAAGATTAGCAACATGTACCCCATTCCATAGATAACCAATGACAGAAGGTGATAAAATCAATCAAAGAGAACAATAAGTCCTAATGAACCAGTTTTACATTTCATTAACTCGAGTGCCAAGGTAGTTCTTAAGGACTGATTTAGTTTCTTTCTTCATGAAGAATTCAGTAATTAGGAAAATAAGGTCTAACAGCATAATACAACTTAAGCCTGCAATGCAGTTTGTGTCTGAAGGTGGTGAGAAACAGGAGGGCTCAGCAGTTCCTTGGGCTGAGCCCTCCTCATGGCCCTGGTCTGAGGAGCTGCTGAGCCCCTGCAGAGGCACACAGCATGCAGGGATGCCATGCCAGGCTCCTACCTGGCTGTGCCAGGGCATCTCCTGGATACTAAAGCCTCTGGTTATTCCACATCTGAACTGTCACAGTGATGTGCAATTCTGCGATGTGCCCAACACAGCGACAAAGAGGAGGCCAACTTGATGCTGACATCATGCTCTAAGCACTAATTCAAAGATTAATTGGGTAGGAACTAATTTAGTTAGTCCTGGATTATTTTTACTGCCCCTGATGTTTCTTGCCTTAATTCAACTTCTCCTAATTAATTTCCATCAAGTTTAATTCTCAGTCAAAATGAGAATAGGAATATAGCTTCCTTTGGGAACACAGGAATGCAATGTGAAGCAGGCACAGTTTAATATATATGGAAAGCAAGGGTTCTCTGATGCAGAGGATTTTTTAAAAGAAAGATTGCTATAGCACATAGGGACACACACAAACACACATCTATATCTATATCTATATCTATATCTATATCTATATCTATATCTACATCTACATCTACATCTATATCTATATCTATAATTCTGTTAGTCTTAACCTTGAAGCTTAGGGAAATCTGAAATTAGACTTGAATTTTGCAGTTAGCAATAGGTTGTTATTAAAGGCTAAAACACATGATCCTAAACCATCTAGGCTTTTATGTTTTACTAAATCCAAGCTTTCTGGGTCAATTCTTGACCTATTCTGAAGCTCTCTATGTTCATGTATACCAGAAGGTATGTGTACACACACACATACATATTTACCAGGCTTGTCCAGCTTTTCCGATCCACTAAAGTCTGTGAGATATTAAAAAATTCAGAGCCTGAAGAACTAGATACAGCCCCTTCCCCCATCTGAATGCTGTACTGAAATTTTTTGGGAAGACAGGGCTTTATTCCCTGCAAATGTTTCCTGTGGGATTTACCATAAAATGAAACTGGTAAACTATGCAGTACAAGTGTCACACAACTTGCATTTGCTTCATTAAGCTCCATTCATCTTGTACTTTTATTTTTTATTAAAACTATTAAAGCAATATTAAAACTACATTAAAACCTATTATTATTTTCTTTGTTTATTTCTTCATATTTCATCATTTCAAAGCATCAGATACCTGCATGTTAAAGTTACAATTGCTCTTACTACATGTAGCAGCTGTTTCCAAACCAAAGAAGAGGATGTGATCTCCTTACAGACCTTGAAATCCAGTGAATTTTAGCTGGTATCTTGGGATGAAATGAAAAGTGCAGCCAGACACCCTCCTGATGCTGCCTGCTGGGCTACCTATCCCCATCCAGCTGCTGAGGGAGCAGTGGCAGCATATGGCTGAGGTGGAAACAGGGACAGGACTGCTTCTTTCAGCAACCATTTCCCTTAAGATCACCTTATCTGCAACATCTCATTGCCCCTTTAAGGTGCAGACATTTGATACAGCTCTGCCTCCCAGAGTGCCCAGCCCCGCAGTGTGCATCCCTGCACCAGCCTGGAGGCGCCCTCAGGGCTTGCTGACCTCTCTGAACATAATCTCAGCAAGAAACTGCTTTACACTTCTCTGCCCTCTTAGCAAGTTGAGAAAGGTCCCTGGGAAGCAAAGAATATCTTTCACTGGGGAAAGGGACTGGACTGGGCAGGCAAGGCAAAGAGGGAAACAGGGAGATGGTGGCAGCGGAGGAGGAGGAGGAGAAGGGTGAAGGAACATCCTTTTTTTTTTTTCAGTGGCAATTAGAGAAGGTCAGCTGTGACACCTAACCTGGTCTGAAATCTCCATATTCTGTTCCTGGTCTAAAGTCAGGTGTTAGATTTGTTTTCAGAGCTATTGTTGAAACACCAATGACACGCATACAGAATTTCAGAGACATTTATTAAAATCGCATAATATCCTTTGGGGATTGCTGACACACAGAGAAGTCAAGATCCACACTTTAAAATACATATGGGTTTGGTGGTGTCTAAACTATTACCCAGACAGCTTAGGACCAAGCAGTAGGGACGTATGCTTGACTTTCCCCCACCACCTGCATCCCTCTTCCACGTGGGATGTGTCTTGGGATTGTTCCAGACATCAGTATGGCAGAGCTGCAATTTTATCTCCTAGGTGGCAGCAGTCGCGGATGAAGGTTGGCTGTGTTCAAGCTTAGCTGGTACTCCTACAGAGGAATGGCCAAGCAAAACTCCTCCTTGTCCACTTATTGTCCTAGAAATTTCTGAAGAACACCCCAAGCTGGTCAGAGACAGCTTCTGGAAGCATTTCCTATCAGCCTGAGAAACAGGATTAAAATCTTTTAGTTCCTAGCCGCCTCCTTAGTCTTTGCTGCTTGCCACATTCCCAAGAAACAGACTGTATCACCAGTGCCTCAAAAGTAAGCTTCTCAGTAAAAGGATCAGGGGAAAGAAAAAAGAAAATTTGAAAAGGCAGCCTCAGCAGGTGAAGAAATGAGATGGTGGAGAAATCAAGCAAAACACTCTGACAGAGGATGTGGCTAATGATAATGATTCTGCTTCTGAGACTTTGGAGATGAAAGTAATTTTGCTCTTCTTGCATCTCCCTCCCCACTGACAGTCTCTAGGAAGGAAAGCTGGAATATGTCCAGCAATATTTTTATCTTTCTTTTCCTTTTCTGCCACAGTCTGCCATCTACTTAGAAGCTCCATTTCAAGCCCTGCTCTGCTAGCTAGAGGAGAACTGCACTGATCATGTAAAAGGTGTGGATAAAGGCTGCACCTGTGTTCTTCCCTTGCTTTTCTGAGAGATAAAATTCGATCATATCAATAGAGACATCTTTCTTTTTAAAGACTTGTCAAGGAGGCATTTCTCATTAAGTTAGACATGATGCTAAGAACATATATCACTGAACCGGGCTCTCTGAACAGAGACTGTGCACATCTGCGCCTGGAGTGAGGAAAGAATGCCAGGATCTTCCTTGCTGCACGAGAACAAACATCTAAATCTTTGACTTCTCAGAAAGGTTAGCGAAGTCAAATAGAGGCTGTCCGGTGGAGCTGACCGCACCATAACAGGGACGCAGCTACAGAGAGACAACGAGAGGGCAGGGAGGCAATCTGTCCAGACCAGCATCCTGGGACCCAGTACAGCCTGCCTGTTTTGGCAGCGTGTCCCCAGTGTCGCTCCCGAGTGAGGCAGACCCAGGGGTGCTGGCAGGGGCCAGCCTGCACCCCGTCCCTGCGGCTGGGGAGCCAAGGGGCGACCGACCATGGGGGCGCTGGGGACTGCGTTACTGAAAGGGCGTCTGAGCCGCTTCTCTCTCTCCCTCCATTAGCTCCGGGAGGATAAAACTGAGAAGTTACACCAGAATAAATGACAACTTTTTATTCCTTTTCCCATTTGCCGGGACACGAAGCTTTCACCAGAGGGACCTGTCCGTCTCCAGGCTGCCTCTTGCAAAGCGTTCCCAGAGCAGCATTCATCACCCTTCAAACTCCTTTTATTCTCGGGTGAGAAACTCGCGGAGGAGAGGCGGGGGGCGCGGGCAGCAGCCGCCAAGTGGCTGCAGGGGCCGCTTGGCACCGGGGAGCGCAGACAAAAGCCGGCGGAACTACGTGGCTTAAATTCAAAAGGGGCGCTCGGGGCTCCGCAGGGGCAGCCCCGGCCCGGGCAGGGGGCGGGGGCGGCCGGGGCAGTCCGGCGGGGTGGGACGGGCGTGCGGGGGGCGCAGCGCGGCTCCCCTGGCCCCGCCGCCGCTCACTCGGGGCCGCCGCGGCTGCAGCGGCCGCCGGAGCCCGTCGCAGCCCCAGCCCAGCGATGAGGGGCATCCCGGGCTTCAAGCGGCTGCGGCTCAAAATCTGGCGGCGATGCGCCCTGCTGCTGCTCCTCCTCTGGGCTGCCTGCTGGGTGCTGGTGAGCGCTGCGCTGTTCCTCCTCCACAGGAGCGTCTTCTCCGAGAGCTGCACGGACGAGAAAAGCCACCGCATCCTGGCCAGGCTGGTACGTGCCCCGGCGGGACGCGGGGCATCTCCCGGGAGCTGCCGGGCAGGACGAGCGGGCGCTCGGTCCGTCGGGGCTGCTCTCGGGGCGCCCTGCCCGGCTCCGGCCGCCGGAGGTGCCGCATCGCCGGAGCCTCCGGTGCGCACGGGCGGGCGGCTGCCTCCTTCCCTACCTCCCTGCCTCCCTACCCGCTTCCCTCCTTCCCTCCCTCCCTGCCTCCTTATCTCCTTTCGCTCCCTCCCTGGCACGCTACCTCCTTCCCTGCCTCCCTACATCCCTCCCTGCCTCCCTGCCTCCCTACCTCCTTCCCTCCTTCCCTGCCTCCCTCTCTCCTTCCCTCCCTCCCTGCCTCCCTTCCCGGGGCGAGGTCAGGTGCCGGCGGCCGCCCGGCTCCCGGTCGTGGGATGCGGGTGCGCTGCCTGAGCCGAACGCTCCGAAGAGGAGCAAAGCCTTCCTCCGGGTGTTTGGGGGTTTTTTGTTTGTTTTTAGCCGAAAAGCTGTTTGTTCAAAAGTCCTCTTTGAGAAGTGCCAGGCAGCTTGTATCGCTTCCTTTATGGTCTGGTGGGGGCTGGTGTGTAAGATGTGGTTAAAATTCAAGAAAGGATTTGCGAATATTCATTAAAGTTTCCCTTAAAAATAAAGGGAAAATGTGTAGGAAACACTTTGAGAAGAGGAGCAGCGTGGGTTAATGCTTTTAGTTCAATTTTGTTTCTTAGTCAGGGTATCTGTAGTGCCAGTGGTTAGGTGGGAAAGGAGGAATCCTAGTGGGAATTGAATAATCTATCACTGCAAGCAAGCAAAAACTGATCATAGATTTTCCTTAATTCTGAATAATAAAGGAAAGGCAAGTGTAGGCAGTGGTCCTGACAGCGTGTGTTTAATGGCAGTGAGTTCCAGTTTCAGTACCTCAGGAGCCAGATGGAAGCAAGGCTGAGCTCAGGTTTGCAGCTGTAGGAATGATTCCTGCCTCATCCTTACGTGCTCGGGAAGAGCACTGAGATACGGAGGTGCACGGAGCTGCCAAGCTCAGGGAGGTCCAGGTCCTTGCCATGGCAGTCACCAATAAACAGATGGACAGAGACTTGTTGCTGTTCTTCAGTTTGGAAAGCGTCAGGCAAGGCTTCAGAAGCCCAGGGATCAGATTCCAGTCGCAAGCTTGGGAAGTTGTCTCTGTCACTGAGACAGCTCAGGCTCAGACCCTCCTTGCAGAGGAAGAGTAGCTGAGATCGCTGTGCTTGTCTGTGAGTAGGTGCGTCATCAGTAGTGTCGCGAAGGTTTGTAAGCAACAGTTTTCCCAGATGACGTTAGAAAGGGCTTGTCCTTCTAGTGGAATAATTAGAAAATGAACTCCTCTTCATCTGCCCCAAAATACGTTTTTCTACGTCTTCTGAACTTAGCAGGAGTTTCACAGTTTCAGAAAGTGCAACTGATCTGTGAAACAAATAACCTGATAGCTTGAGTCTCACACCTTCTATTAAGCAAAAGTAAACTTCTAAGAAAAACTATTTTACTAGTCATCTCTCAGTAGGAGATGAGATATTTTAAGGAGGTGGGTGCAAATGCCCTACCAAGTGGCATTTCTGAAGGTTTTATTTCCTTATTCTGAGTAAGACATACATCTGTGCAGCTGTGTACTGCACTGAGAAGGCTGAAATAGCACTGGGCAATTTGCAGAGACCAACTTTAACTCTCACAAAAAGCTCTCCCCTTGCTCTTTCCTAATGCCAGTCTCATCTTCATTCACACTGAACACTAAGCAATCAATTTCTGTTCCCTCTGGAGAAATCAATTACTTCTGATGCCTTCCAAACCTGGCTCTGTATTGCATTTACACAGAAGTAGTAGCTAACTAGGCAGAACATCAGTTTCAGGGCACTGATGGTGGTACAGTGGGTTATTTAAATTTATTTAAATCCTTAGCAAGGTTTACATTAATTTAAGCTTTCACATTCATTTAAACCCAGCTTTTTAAACTTATCTTGATAAGTCCACTGAAGATATTAAAAATTATTTAGCCAATTTTAATAAGATACATATGAATGAGTCCAAGCTGTGCTTGTGTGTGCATTTTTGTGTAGTACAGCTGCTTCTTTATAAGGCTTTTGGCTTAATAGCACTTTCATATTTTAGTTTTAAGTATCTGGCACTGAAAGAAGAATCTGTGGCTTTCAAAGGTCGATCACTAGGTCAATTTAAAACTGTCTCATCAACAGATCTCAAACTTCTGTCATTAAGACAGGGATGACAGTTAGGTTGGAGGACCAGTTCTGAAATATTTCTTTGGGGAATTGATTCTTCCTTTTATCAGCAGGATGATGGACAATCTTGTATAGTGAAGTCTGAAGTTAGTGGAAAACTTCCTGTGTTGGTAAATAATGAATGGTCCATTGTGTCATGGCAGGGTAATCCGTATTACCTGGTTAAATGCTTTCAGTCCACCAAATTTGTGTTTTAATACTATAAAAGGCAAGCTAGTACACTGGGGAGCACAACAGCACAAGCCATGCCAATATGATGGAAGACTGTCCTGTAAAACTGTGTTTAGAATGGATGTAAGGGTCAAATAATTGCTACAAGATGAACCACCAGTGCAAGCTGTGCCTAAAGGGTTGATAGGAAATGGTTCAATCTTCTTGATTGCTTCCTTGAGGAAGTCTTTTTGAAAGAGCCTTGCTTGCCTTTGTGACCAGCTGAGAATGCACTTCTGGAAGGCTGATCTGTGTTTCATCACTGTGAGGCCACGAGCTCTTTGGTCAAGTCCTCTTTCACAGATCCCAGTTTGCAAAACACTGCACAAGTTTATTGTAAGAAGAATTTGATTCTAACACTGTTTGTCAGATGCTAGGTTAATTATCAAATATTTATAGCTTCAACTGGAAAAACAGCAGAAAAGTCCTTAATAGCAACGAGGTTCAAAAAGGACCTGTCTCCTCTGCCTGTGAAATCTGAGTCTGCTTTTTCCACAAATACTTTTTTTCACTAATGCCATTAAGAATGACGTGATGTCAACACAGGAAAATAAGCTGTGCCTTGACATGTTTGGCTACAGGTCATGTATTCTTTTGGATGCCAGAAGTCCACCCATGTGAACCCAATTACATGAATAAGTCCTATCTTCTCTTACTGTACAAGAAGAGAATTAGATTGTGGTCTGTCAATAGAGTTTTAAATATGCTTATACTTACAATCCAAAGAAACCCCGAAAAATTCCTTCTGTTTGTAATTTTCTTTCTAAAATTGCTTAGAGCTCCAGATGGCAAGAACTGCTAACCTACTTTTGTCGAGAAAACTACATTTCCTACTTAAAAAGGTAGAGTAAAATTGTATTACATTAGTAGGATAAAATTTTCAAAAGCAAGAACATTGATCTGCATGCTCCGTAGTCTGCAGATCTGAATCTGAGTGAGTCTCAGAAGTCTGAGTGAATCTCTTTAGTCATCCTGGTGTGGATGAGAATGCAGATGTGTGTGTTCATGCATGGACTCAGTGTCCAGTCACTCATGCAAGAGTTTGCCTACCTGACTCTCCTTGCTGGCACTGAACATTCCCACTTGGGCTGTGGGAACATCAGAATATAAATAAATTTTATGTCTCTCTGAACTGCCCTCAGTGAGCTGTTTCTGTCAACTGATCATCATTCTTGGATTTTGGACTTGATCCTCCACCCATTCCCTGGTGTGTTGTTTAAGGCTGGACTCTAAATGTTGCTTGGCATCAGAACATATTCCTCTGATGTGCACACCTCAGGGACTGTCCCAAGAAAATACATCGCTGGAATGCTACTAGGATCACGTTCCGCATGTAACAGGCAGTCACAAATGAGGTGGGGCTCAGGCGGCCACTGCGAGTTCTGCACGTGCAGGGGGGACCTGCCAGTTTGTTTAAGTGAAGGTTCAAATGCCAGAAAGCAATGGAGGTGGATGACACTGTCAAGCTGCCTCACAGATGTTTGGCTTTCTACACCACCCCCTCTATTCCCTTTCACCACAGACCTCTGATCATCCCCTCTACTGAGGGACTCAAAGCAGTCCCTACAGCTGCACTTTTGGATGACCACAGGAATACATCAACTGCCTCCACTTTTGGAACTGATATTATAGAAATTATTCTGGCTTGAGACGAACTGGTGAGGGAATCCTTGCAGTTCTTGCACTAATTTCCATTGACCACTTGACTATCAAGCAGCAGTTCCCTTGTTTCCAAAGACTGATTTCTTTCCAGTTAATAAAAGATTAAATACTGAAGCAATTAATATTAAAATGTCACTTCTGATAACTGCATATAAACCCTGGAGAGTCATTGTGTTCTGCAGCATTTACATACTCAAAAATTCTGAAAGTTCTTGGTCCAAAGCTCATTGAATGAAACCTGTGTTTCCTGGTGATACAGGAGGAGGTTATCACTGCTTCTTCAGGGTGTGTTGAGTGCAAGGCTGAAACATGCAGAGCTCTGGAATGTCCCAGACATCCAGCTGCACATGGGTTTTCCTTTAGTTTTAGTGGTGATATCTAAGTTATGCTGCCCTGAACCTTCCAGAGAAGTGCTGCATTACTGTGTGCCTTGAAGTGTTACACCCCATAATCATACACAGTACAGCCCAGGTGTTTGGAGTTTGTCCCACTGAACTCATACGTGTAAAATGTTTCAGATTGACAGGTCATCCAGTCCCTTTCCTTGCCCCTGAAAAGCTTGCCCTCTACCATCCCCATAATCCCTGTTTTGAAGCAAAACTCCCCTGGTAATAGATCTCTAGAGACTTCTGAAAAACCGTTGAACAGCCCAATGATTGTAGGTGTGTGTTTGCAGTTCCATGACTGCTGCAATCCTCTCAGTCTTAGGACTGTTGCTCATTATTTGTCTTTCTTCTGCATGGTCCATAGGGGTATGGTTCTGCTATGAATATTCTGCTCTTTCACTCCAGTGCCTCGACTACAGCAGTGGAGCCCTGACTGGGGACCTCTGTGAAGACCTGTGTGTGGCACAGAAGCTGGTGTACAAACACTGCCTCTACTATGACAGAGGTAAGAAGGTCATCCAGGCTGATTGGAGAGGCCAGCCCATCATACTGAAATCCAAAAAAGAAAGCTTTTCAAGCTACCAGCACCTCAGTATGCTAGAGGAGGTGGAAACACAGGATATCCCCGAAACAGAGCTTCTGCTTATGGTAGCTTTGGAGGTCAAAAATGCCCTGGGGCTAGAACTGTCTAACAATACCATGGGGCCCCTGTGGACAAGGAAGAAGGGACCACGTTGGAAAGCACAGGTGGCCAGCATGTGGTCCTTGCTCCAGCAGGAAGAATATATCTACTTCAGTTTGCTGCAGGACTTCAGCAAACATGTGCTACGAATTATTGGCTCTTGTGGACACTTTTATGCTGTGGAGTATCTCACAGCTGGGCATGCCTGGCACAAAACTCTTTTTCCCTTGGAAAACGTGATGGGCCCCTCCCTTAGTGGCCACAGGAGCAGGGTGAGAGCCATCATTGACATTGCACTCAGCTTTCTGGACATGGTGCAGCACTTTGATAACGATTTCTCTCACCGCCTTCACCTGTGCGACATCAAACCAGAAAACTTCGCTATCAGGCATGACCTCACGGTAAGCTGGGCCTTTGGGGTGGTGTTCCAGGAACTTGAGGCCAAATTCTAGTCTGAAGGTGGCTGTGTAAAAATGACACTTCCCTCCTCGTACAGCTTTTGGCTAAGTTTTTGCAAAGCCAATGAATTTACAAGCATCAAGGGAGATTCTCTGCTGCTTTTCCTCTTTGTAATGTGTACCGTCACATTTTTGGAGCACTAAATCCTGCTGCTTGTTTTGAAAACTTCTTGCTCGTTTCTGTTTTGTTTCACTTCTTCAAAGGCACCGGTGCAAGGTCCCTTGGATGTGGTGAGGGATGCCTTCTGGAGACAAGGGGATTTCAAAAGCTCTAAATGAAGCTGTAATTTGAGTCATATTTCTGGTAGTGATGCTGAAATGAAAAAAACTGTATGAATTTGAAAGCTAAGGCTGAATTCATGGTCTGACACAAGGGGAACTCCCCACATCCAAACACATATTTGTGCTTTGGTGGTCAGCTTACCTGGTCTGGAAACTATGCAAGGACAGCAACATGAAACTCCCTACTACTGTCACTCTGACTTCTCATGGTGCAGCTGTAACTCGGACCTGATAGCTGTGTATATTTTCTAATGAGTGCAGCTCACATTCATTCTGTGCACAGAAATTCCTCTGGTTTTGGTTGGAATTTTGCCTACAGATTGGAGGTACCGTGCAGTGGGTGTTTGAATTTAGGCCCCAAATTTGCAGTGTCATCAGTGGAGTTTCTGCACTCTGAGTGAATATAAAGCATTTTCAGGGACTTTATTTTTAGTACTCACTGAGTGTTAATGTAACACTTGTATCTTCAGAGTACTAGACAAACAAAAACCTAAACATAGAGCCATTAGGAGCAATTAGAGTGTTTCCCCTTCACCCTTCCCTCCCCTCCCATTGTTTATTCAGGTGCAATACAGCAGCTGAGCAGGGAATGGGCGAGGAGATACAGCAAGAAACTGAAGCAAGCTGTAGCACTACTTAGCACTACTTAGGAATTCCTCAAGGCAGGCTTTGCCCATCTTCCTCAGTTACTCAGGGCTGTGGCTGCCTGTGGCTGAGCACAGGCCAGAGCATCTGTTTCACAACCTACTTACAGGAAAATAGATTCCATTTAGGGAAAGGGGATCAATACCGGATGTGTCTTCTCTTCTGGGTCCTTTTGGTGAGGCTTGCTTTGCCAGGATCTTCCAGTGACCAACCAGTTCCAGAATAGGAACAGCAATGCAGCCTCTTTTTGTCTCTTCTGATTGTTTTAAGCAGCTTTTTCCCTTGCTGATTTCTTGTATAGGATAATAGAAAAACCTCACAATTGTACCACTATTCCTCATTTGAGTAATGAGACTTCCAATGCCCAAAGAAATGTGCTTGGAATGCAATGGTTTTACTTTGAGGATTATTTTCATGCGGTGGGGATAAGCCTCCAGCCTTCATGTGCTCTCCTACAGCAAAGAAAGGAGCTGTCTGGTAGATCATCCATAAGAAATTTAAGCTGCCATGGAGCCACATAAGGTACAGAGTTAGAAGGAAGTTTGAGTGAATGCACAGTGCTCTGGGAGAGCTTCCTCTTTTACCAATAATTGAGTGAAAACTGGAAAGATCACAGCACATTAAACATGACTTTAAATCAGGTCATGAGCCAAGTTGGGTCCTTCCTGTATTTCCTTTTTTCATCAGCTATGATCATGGCAAAGCCCACCAAAATGTAGCTGTTTATAGGCAGAGTGTCAGCCAGATGTGTCTCCATAGGGTCTAGCTGGATGCTCAGACATTTTGTAAAAGAATTTCAGTGAAGCCACTGAACCCTTTGGCAGCCACATATTTGGGAACTGGGGCTGCTTTTCCTAGTGAAGCAATGGATAAGATTGTCAAATGTGCTGGCAAACACCCCACCTGGGAGGTGGAACAGTGATGCTGGGACTGGGGAAACCCTGCACTTCTCTCACTGTCTCTTCTCCAAAGAACTGAACAGCAAAACCACAGAAAGCTTTAGGAAGTAAAGAACCCAAAAAAACCCAAACCAAAACAAATTTGCCTGTCCAAACATGTAAAATTCTTTAGGCTACATCAAAATTATAGACCTCTCCAAAATGCTTAAAAATACTTATGTTTTTAAGATATGCCTCATTTCTGTAAGATTTTTTCCCTATGGAAAAAGGAGTAGAACAAAATGAACATTAGACTATGTTCTTTATTTTGCCTGTGGAAGGTTTATTTGGCCTTCTACCAAACCAGACATCTTTAGTTCCTGGGGTTGATCCAGTTGCTGTTCCAGTCACACTGTTCATCTTCTCCTGTTACTTGGGAGGTCGAATCTGAAAAATAAAACTATCATTTGAGCCCAAGTAACTCTGCTTTGCCCAGGTCCCTGACCTTTTCCTCTATGAAAATGTGTGTCAGATGCTGAGAAAGAATATCCCTGATCCTGACTGTCAAGTGTGAAATGCAGCTGTGAACATTTGCTGGCTGCACATCCCTGATGTTTGAGTCAGGCTTCCTTCTCTGTGGTTACCCACAGCTTGGCTCACATCAGGCAGCTGCCATCCCTGTATTGGATTTCTTTCTTTCTTTCCGTCTTTATTGCTGTGATTTCTTTAAGTGAAGCATTCAGGGGTGGGGTAGCACTGGCAGAAACTGAGCTCACAGCCCTTCCAGAGAGGTCTCACCCCCAGCACGGGCAGCAGCACTGCCAACACTTTGTGCTGTGTCTGAAAGCCTCCTGCCAGGGGAGGAAAGGGACTTTCCTTTCACTCAGGGTTTTTCTGCTGTGACCAGATTCTGGCTGGACTCTGTTACAGGACGTATTTCTGCACTATAAGAACAAGAACTGTGCACAATAAATGTGTCAAACCATAGCAAAGAAGACTGCACAAAGCCAGACCCAGCTTTCACCAAAGTCAGGGATCTCCTCCTGCAGCTGAACAGACTCAAACCTGCAGAATGCAAGGACAGGTTTGCAGGAGCTGTACCAGGTGCAGCTGTCCTTGCACATCCCACTGCTCCTCTCCACAGCGGCAAAGTCAGGGGTTTAGTCTAAATGCTGACTTCTAAATGACACTGTCTGGCCCATGGGCAATTGGGCACCATCATGTAATTGAGAGGTTGAGGTGCCATCTGCATCTGCTGCACCAGCAAGTAAATCCATCCTCAGGTTGGATAGGTCCACTTTAAGGTGAATCAGTCCAATTGACCCCAGGGGTGCATGTTGTTCACAAATAATTTTTCCATTCCTGGTGTCATAAGCGTTGGCTGGTTTTGTTTAAAAAGCGGTGTTTATAAGGTTAGTATGGCTCAGTTAAGTGAAATGAAGCCCCTGTGATCCCGGTTCCCTGCCAGCAGATGCTCTTCGCACAGCATTTCCCAAAGCCAGCAGCAAAGAATGCCTGCTCAGCCCTGTCCCAGAGGCTGTGCTGGGCCAGATCTGATGGGATGTTTTGATTCACAGGTGGTGGCCATTGATGTGGATATGGCCTTTTTTGAACCCAAAATGAGAGACATCCTGGAACAGAAGTGCACAGGAGACGAAGATTGTAATTTCTTTGATTGCTTTTCAAAATGCAATATGAAAATCAGAAAATGTGGAGCACAGAGAGCCAATAACAACTTGCAAGTGAGTAAACACAGCTGTTTTATGCATCCATTCCTTTTAAAATCACACTGACTATAAAATGCATGGGATGTACAAGGAGACCCTGAGATGAAGACAGTCAGTTTTTAAACATGTCCACCTAAGTGTCCTGTTCAGAAATCTCATCTTGGGGCACACAACCAGATCTTTATATTCTCTCTATATAGTGTTTATTTGTCATGGTTTTCTGGGTGTTAGCCCAGTGCCACAGACAGGAGAGCAGAGTAAGCAGGGGCAGGGGATTAGCACTTCTGTCTCCACTGACAGTAAATTCACATTCTTGAGTTGCACTTCAAATCCTGTGTTCATTTCTGGGCCCCTCACTTCAAGAAAGACATTGAGGTTCTGGAGAATGTCCAGAGAGGGCAATGGAGTGATGAAGGGTCTGGAGCACAAGTCTTGCAAGGAGTGGCTGAGGGAGCTGGAGATGTTTAGGCTGGATAAAAAGGAGGCTCAGGGACATCTTATGGCTCTTGGTAACTACCTGAAAGGAGGATGCAGTGAGGTGCATCTTTTCTCCCAAGTAACAACTAGCAGGACAAGACAAAATGACACCAAATTGCACCAGGGAGGGTTTAGGTTGAATATGAGAAAAAATTCCTGAAAGAGTGGTCAAGCATTGGAAGAGGCAGCCCAGGGAAATGGTGGAATCACTGTCCCTGTAAGTGTTCAAAAATGTGTAGATGCGGGCATGATTGGGGCATGATTTAGTCATGGACTTGGCAGTGCTGCATTGGCACTTGGACTCAATGATCTTAAAAGTCTTTTCCAACCTTAGTGATTCTATGATTCTGTGGAAGTTGAGGCTGTCCAAGTGTAAGCAGCGGTTGTGATTCTCCACTCTACAGATGCAGCGTGTGGGTGCACTGGAAAGGGGTGTCCATGGAGTCTTGGCTTTGGGATGAGGGGTCTTACAGCTCACCCACCTTGAGCTGGTGAGAGGCACTGGCAAAAAACAAGCTACAGCCCCCCAGAAAGGCACCCCCTCACCCTCACCACTCGTTATGCAGAATCATGGGATTATTCAGGTTGGAAAGCACCTTTAAGATCATCAAGTACAACCCAGTGTTGTTAACCCAACACTGCCAAGTCCATCAACAGATCACACCCTAGTGTCACACCTCCATGTCTTTTAAATATTCCAGGGATAGTGACTCATCTAATTCCCTGAGCAGCTTGTTCCAGTGCCTGACAACCATTTTGGTAAAGAATTTTTTCCTAATATCCAGTCTAAACCTCCCCTGGCCCAGCTTGAGCCATTTCCCCTTGCATTGCTTGTCACCTGGGGGCAGAGGCTGATCCTCACCTGGCTACAACCTCCTTTCAGGTACTTATAGAGGGCTATAAGGTCCTCCCTCAGCATCCTCTTTCCTAGACTAAACAACCCCAGCTCCCCCAGCCACTCCTAAGATGTGTGAAGTGCAGGAGCAGCCTGAGAAGGGCCATCCCTTAGCTAGAGCATTGCCTTTATGGATGCTCCTTTCCTATACCTCCCTCTTTGAATGGCTAGAGGCACTTTGGATTCAGATGACATTTTGCTACAGTCCCAGGGAAGCAGCAGGGCATTAGTGGTAGCTCCTGAAACACAATGATCTGCTCTGCTGAATTTGCAGGCAATCCCAACATGAGGAGAGATGAGAATCTTGACTCCATGTTTCAGAAGGCTGATTTATTATTTTATGATATATATTATATTAAAACTATGCTAAAATAATAGAAGAAAGGATCTCATCAGAAGGCTAGCAAGGAATAGAAAGGAATGACAATAAAATCTTGTGACTGCTTATAGCCTCGACACAGATGGCTGTCATTGGTCATCAATTAAAAAGAATTTCACATGCTGGGTAAACAATTCTCCAAATCACATTCCAAAGCAGCAAAACATGGAGAAGCTGAAACTTCTCAGGAGAAAAGATCCTAATGAGAGGATTTTTCATAAAATATGTCTGTGACACTGCTCTTTTTCCTTTCCCCAGGTCATTTGTGACAAGATATTCCGCCGCTGGTTTTCCCCCAGTCTCAGAGGAGCGCTGGTCTCCCTGCCCCTGCAGCTGCAGCTGCAGAAAGCCGTGCAGGAGTGTGCTCAGCCGGGGCTCACGGGTGCCACGGGGCACCAGGGGGCTCTGAAATCCCTCTCGGAGCTCTACCACCTGCTGAGGGTCACCCAGCGGGAGCTGCAAGGGCCAGAGTAGGCACAAAGGGCAGCGCATCCTGCACGGGCCACACCCCATCTCTCTGCCACCCTCCTAACCCCGGATTTTACAGCACAGAGATTGCTTTTCTGCTATGCAAATGAAGTTCATAGCTGCAGGTGCAGCACGTCATGATGATACCCTCTAAAATGTTAAATTGCTTTACACGGATTGTGTTCTTGCTTGTTCTCCTGAGGAAGCACTGCCCCTCTCCATCAGCATACAGCACATCCTTCTGGGCTGCAGTCGCTGCTTAGATAGCATCTGTCTGAGGATGCACTGATAGAAGAAAAGTGTAAGTGCAGCAAAACTCGATCAATAATTAAAAGAATGGGTGAGTGGGTGTGAATAAGTACATGCATGGTGTTTTAGTTTCTCTGTCAAATGAGGTGAGTTTTTACAGTAGATAGAGAGCATTTTGTGTGGAAAAAAAAAAAAAGGAGGGGATCTCAAACAGGGGAATGTGCTGTCACACAAGGAAAGAGTTGCTTTTGTACAAAGCAGTCCTTCCTGAAGTCCCCAAATGCATTTCCTCTGGGCCATTGCATTACCTGTGCCATTGCTGACTCTTTTGGGGAAAAATTATATAAAGGTATTTTGGACTTTTCTAGGGCAAAATAATTATACCCCTGCTGAGCTCCCATGTGGGTACTCATGTTCTGCAGTGAAGAGGTATGAATAATGCTACTGGATTTTCCCTTGTGAACAAGCCCTTAGGCACTTGTACATCAGAGCACTTGATAAGAAGCACTCCTTTGCCAGAGAGCAGAATTGCCCAGGAATGTCAACAATCTGTCCTTTGCAAAGAACAATATCCAGATGCAGAGTTTTCTTCCATGATATTTTTTTAATGAACAAAAGGAAATTTTTTTGTACAAATTCATTATCTTGTGATCAGTTATGTAAATAAAGATCTCTAGATTAACTTGAAAACATTAACTTGAAAACATTAACTTTGCCTTTCAAATGTGCAGAGCTGTGGCTGGCGAAACTAAAATGGGTTCAGGAGACATTATAAGTGTGTAGGCCCAGTACCAGGCAACGTCCCCATGATCTGATTTTGGCATGGGGAAATTACAAAGCCCACAAACAGGAATCCCAGCAGCCTATGGCAGCCCTCAGTTGGAGGAATCAATTTTAAGACTCACAATACTGGTTTGTGGATGTGAGACATGTAACAACACTTAACCTGCACCATCTTTATGTCCCTCAGCCTTATGGCAGCTGTGAAGCCTGCGAGCACCAATTAGACATAAACTTTCCATTTCTGGAATGGTTCTTTAAAGTAAAGCTAAAGACTGCCTGTGACCAGAAAAATGGGAGCTGTTGAGGAGACCTTGACCCCTTAAAACCTAGCTCAAATTTTCAGACTGGTGCTGCTGTGTTTTTATATATATTTCTTGCAATAAGCTATTATAGTTTTAAAAATCATGCAAGCCCTCAAGAAACTCACAGCAAGAACAAGGTCAGATGCCTTGCCTGGGGCTGGACAAGCTGCTGCTAAGGTGGAGCTCCAGCTTAGCAGATCCTGAATGGTAAAGCTGCTCCTTTAACCAGGCAGGCAAAGAATGCTTCAATACTTTAAGATCATTCTTTGCAAAAGCAGGAAGGCAAAGCAGAATAAGAAGAAGCACAAATTGCAGAACAAGCCCTGTTACAAAGTCATGAAATAGATGGAGAAAATAATTAAGGACAGAACCAGATTGTGGCAAGGGAGTGAAGATAGGTAAAGTATCAGTTAGAGAGAAGACAAGAAAAGATAGATGAAGGGAAAAGAGGAAAAAAAAGAAGTAAAAAATACATCAGCCTTTGTAGAAACATGATTTATGATGCAAAATTCATTAAAGTGACAGTCTGGGGAAGATGAGGCTGAAGATAAACATGATAACTCTCTTCAAAAACTGAAAGGTTGATAAAAAGAGAATAGGAGAGAACTTTCCTATCCAGATTTCCTTGGTGGATATGACCAGCAATGAGCTTAAACTGTAGCAAGGAAGAAAACAGGTAAGACATTTGCTACAGGCTTTCTGATAGAAAGAAACAGTGAAGATATGGCACAAATCATCTGGGAAATCATCAGACTTCACAAATTGTGGTTTTTAACTCCAGGCAAGAGTAAGTGCCTGTCAGGAATAATGTACATGAAGTTAAGTTGGTAAGGTAATCTTTTATCTCTAAGTCATGTGATTGTTATCACCAGTTAGCATTTGTCCTTTCATGACACAAATCAATTTTTGTGCTCCCTCACAACAAATCCCTCCTTCTTGATCCTTGCTAGGTCAGGAGGGACTCAATATAAATCCCAAATGCTGCTGGGGAACCTGAAGCTACTATAAATCATTGTGTTCCTGTTTCCCTGGTCCCATTCTTTCCTCCTTCCCAAGCTCAGAGGGCACCTTCAGGGAACAGCAGGTATCACACAGACCCTCGGTGCTTTGCAGCAGTCAGGCTGCCCCCATGGCAGGGATCCCCTTCCCATTTCCAGGTTTGCATTTCAGACAGAATAAATTTCTGTTGGGTGGGATATTCCACTTTAAAAACAGGTGAAAAAAACACAGTGAAATGAAAACTGGTGGCAGCCAAATGCTGGTGGAATGTGACTCTGCTCAGAAGATCCTTTTTCCTTGGCAGGATGTAGGAAGGGAAGCTGCCTTTGACAGATTTCTCCAAACCCTTCAGGGCCTGGCTGCAGCCACCTCCACCTGGCAGGGACCTCCTTCCCCACACCACACTTTCCCAGGACATTAGGTTTCACTCCTTTTCAGGATAAAGAGAAACCTCAGAAACCTCTCAAGATCAACACAATTGGGTTATTTGTCCTTGGCTGGGCTGTGAGATTACATATCACTGATGCAGCCAGCTCCAGGCAGGCTTTGGTGCACACCTTCAAGGAGACAAGGAGAATCTGACAGGCTCTGTGAACACAGGGCTTGATTCTTCACAGCCCCCCACGTGCTTTGTAGAGTCACTAAATCCTGGGAAACAGGAGAGAAAGCACTAGCAGCGAAGCAAATAAAATACTGTAATTTAATTAGCACAGGTAGCAATGACCAAAACAGGAATAAAACAGTAGTTGTGCCTTCATGTCCCTGGGACAGAAAGAAAAAGTTAAGGCACTGGTTTAGTAACCATTTACCTTAAGGAGACAAGTGCAAACTGCTGTAATTTGAGCCTGTATGATTTTACAACCACATTTTTGGTGAAAATAACAATTTTTTTGGATGGAAAAATTGATACAGGTGTTTGACAAGAAGATCCGGGACTGGTGCTCCTTTCTGACAAAGCCCCTTTCATGCTGCCCTGGCAGCACTGCCCAGCCCTCTTTGGTAGTTAGTGCACCACAGCTTTACAAAGGCTGTGTAAATCCTTCCCACTGCTCATCCCTTCCATATAAGACGCCAAGCACAGGTTCACTGGTAGCATTTGGTTGCACTGGCAGCAGCCACTTCAGCCCAAGATGCCTGCTCCCATTCAATTGATCTCAGCCCCATCCCTTTGCTCTGTTAGTCTGTTCCCATATCCTTTTTGCCCTATAAAAGTGGCATTACCTCCTGATTTATTTCTACCACTTGCTGAATTAGTGCCTTACTCAGCAACTTCTGCCCCTTATTTATGGCTCCCTGTGAAACGGGAATGGCATTAAGTCATTGTTTATTCATTCTTTGCATCTCAGTTAGCAGCATGTGCTTCAGCTCTGCAATAATCCAAATACACTGTCTGTTCCCACATTTTACAAGAGGTGAGTCCACTTGGAGGTCCTACTTCATCTCTAGGAAATCTTTAGAAAAGATAAATTCAACCCGATGCTCAAGATTTTCACAGAACTACCTCTGATTTTCTCCAACTGGCATTTTATGCTCTGCAAAAGACATCTGCAAACAATAGTCCTGCACTAGGATGATACAAAACAGACAGAACTCCTTACTCCACAGGGTTTATGTGGTCCCCCTTGTGTTTCTAGGTTAGCTCAATGGTGACTAGCCCAGAAAAGCATGTCATTGCTGTAGCCAGAGCTGTTCTTACACATACTGCTGCTCCCTAATGTGACTGCCCAGACTCCCCTTTCACTGAGAGCATTCAGATGCATTGCTGGAGGCACCACTAGAGATAACAACAGATATTTGGGACTGGGAGAGAAGAGAGAGAAGGGTTTGATTCTTTTTTTTTTTAAATTAGAAACATTGGCTGAACAACACATTTCCTAAAGGTGAAAAATGGGATCATGTACTTGAAGAGGTTAGGGACTCCTCGCTGATAAACTTTTTCCTTTGTTATAAAATGTAGACCCAAGTTGGCCTATTTATTTTGGTGTAGATAAAAGAAAAACAAAACAAACTCCCCAAAACAAAACAAAACAAACAAAAAAAAAGCCCAAAACCAAACAAAACAAAAAACCCCAAACCAACCAAAAAAATTAAAGAAGCCATGTACCAGCAAATCCTATTGTCATGCGTTACAGCCAGGAAGGTGATAAATTGTAGCTTTTAATGAGTTTCTGGCTGTAACATGGGAGCCTTGTAGTTGTCATGCCAGTCTACTCATCTGGACAGCCAACTACAAAACAACCAAAAATCCTCTGTATCAGCAGATGTGAACAACCAAATGGCTGATTTGGCAGATGCCCTCTGAAGCCTAGTACAAATGAAAACTGAAATCCCTCTGTCTGGGCCACCTGTAGTGAGCCCACACAATAAGCAGAGTCGCTCTGCAGGAGCCTCGGTCTCTGCCACTTTCCTGGATCCTCAGTGAAAGCAGGAAAAAGGCTATTGGGCTTTCAGCAGCAAAAAAATTCAGCAATGCAGAGCAAGGAAAGAATGAGATGCTTGAAAGAATGAAAATCCAGGACAATTGAACTCAGAACCAGAGATAAGAGACTCCATACTGAAAATTCAGAGAATGTCAATGAATTGATTGTGAGAAAAAAAAAAATCCCAACATTTCCATTATTACTTTCCATTACTTTAAAATAAGGAAGTTCAGTAGCACAGGGGATATAGTGCAGCCATGACCAAAGCCATTTGTTGTATGTGTCTAAGGATCTGTCAAATAGACTGTGGAGCTGTGTAATGACATCTGCAGCCTAAAGGCTAGACAGAGTAAAATCACTTGGAAAAAGCCTTTAGAACTACTATTTACATAAATGCATAAAGCTGCCCTAATTAGCAACAAACAATGTCAGCCAAAAAGAGGGAAAGGAGTGTTTTTCTCACTAGAAGTGTTATTATGTCTATAAATTAAAATATGGCAAAATGCTGAAATCCCTTGAAAGAC